GTCGGTCGGTCGGTCGGTCGATCGGTAGGTAGGTAGGTAGGTAGGTAGGTAGGTAGGTAGGTAGGTAGGTAGGTAGGTAGGTAGGTAGGTAGGTAGGTAGGTAGGTAGGTAGGTAGGTCGGTCGGTCACTCGGTCAATCAGTCTGTCGGTCGGTCGGTCGGTCGGTCGGTCGGTCGGTCGGTCGGTCGGTGGGTCGGTCGGTCGGTCGGTCGGTCGGTCGGTCGGTGGGTCAGTAGGTCGGTAGGTCGGTAGGTCCGTAGGTCGGTAGGCCGGTAGGTGGGTAGGTCGATAGGTGAAAGGTTTAACGTTTTCAGGGCACCTGGCACCGAAGCACCAGCGGAACCCCTGGACACGAAGGGCAACGAAACCCCTGTCAGACCCAGAGCCAAACTGGCATCCACCACAGGTTGACAAAGTCAAAACACTTTACGCGCCAAAGCGTCCGTCTCAGACTTCTTCTCGTCGCCGCCCAGGTGGTCGAAAACCGAAGCGTTCACGAACGGCAGCTCGCACCAAACCAAGATGCCGAAGGCGAGGACTCGTGGCTCTTACAGTGCAGCGTATGTGGTCACGCAGGAGTCCCCAACTGGTGGCATGCTGCTTGGTGTTGCTCCAGTTTCGCTCACTGATACAGCCACCCAGCATGACGCGGCACTCCTCATTGGAGGCGCCGTTGTAAAGCTTGATGGCCGCCTTGAGCACGTTTTCGTCGTAGCCAGCGTCGTCGGGGACGAGGTCTGCAAGCTCGCGTCGCCTCCCTTGCAGAAAGGACGCATGGCGTTGTCGACGCCCAGCCTCTCGAAGCAGGTGCAGCGCCTTGCTACGATTGGCCATGTCCCCTCCCGATAGATCGAAGTCGCCGACCACCGCATGCTGCCAGGTGTGAGCCCCAGTCCTAATGAAGTCAAAGTGCTGCAAAAACGACGCAACCGCCAACCCCCAACGTCCTGTGACGAGCCGACGGCCATGACCTCGCCAAAAAGCATCCGCCTTGAAGAAAGCCGACGCCGATGCCATTCTCAAAGCAAAACCCACGTCCATCCAATGGCCAGCCAAGAGCAGCCAAAGATCCCTGGATCCCTGTTGCACAATATCCAAGGCTCGCTTCACGAGGGTCGTGAGCTTGTGGAAGTCCTGCACCTCGTTGGAGGAGTGAGGGCTCCACCAAAAACTCCACAGGAGTTGTGGAAGTATCATCGTCCTGTACAAACTGTGCTTCACGCTTGAGATCACTGGGAGGCACTTTAGTCGTCGAAGGAGAGCTTGGAACCTGTCGAGCCGGGGGCCACTCACCTGGAGCAACCCATCTTCACGGAAAGAAGCACCAAGAATCGTGGCCTCAGTCGCAGGTTGAATGCCTCGCGCTTGGAGCAGCCGTCGTTGTCTAGGGCTTCGCGTCACCACTTTGAGCTTGTCGCGGTTCTCCTGCAGGCCAAAAGCCCGGGCAGCAGAAGCCCAGAAGTTGATGACTCTAGCGGTGTCGTCAGCAGACTTCGTCACTGCAGACCTGTCATCAACAAAGATAGACTGGCAAAAGTTTTCACCCATCAGCAGCTGGAGGTGAGTCGCGGGAACTAAAAGCCGTGAGAGCCAGTGGCGAGGCAGGGCAACCTTGTGGCAATGATGACGTCACACGTTGGGGCTCTGGATGGACAAAGCTGCCATATTGGATCCATCGCCGCTGTTCCAACCAGGTCCAGGCCACTACGCGTAGGAAGTTCTCTGGACAGCCATGTCTGCGCAGGTTATCCAAAGCAAGTGCCGGCACAACGTTGTCGAAACATTTTTCGAAGTCAAAAGAGACCAAAATGGCCTCTTCATCCCACGAGGCCTCGATGTGTCTGAGGGCCTGCCAAGCATTGCGTCCAACGACGCCGCCCTGGAAGTAAGGCGGGCATACCTGAGGCAACCAGTCTCGCACGCAGGCACGCGCAGTCCGAGTGGCAGCGACGACTCTGTACGTGGTTGAACACGGCGATGGACCTCAGACGGGCCACCTCAGCAGCCGCGCCGGTCACCTCGTCCTTTGGGATGAGAACCATGCGAGCCCCGCGCCAAGATATCGGAAACTTGTTCTGTGCAGTCCAACTCTGAAGCAATTGTGCTAACATAGCCCACCACTGCTCAGGCATGTCCGCAAGGTTCTCAGCAGAAATGCCGTCCGGCCCAGCAGAGCTCTTTGAGTGGCTCCTGGCTCGCTGCATCATCTCGTGCGCTTGCAAGGGGCCCTGATCGCCAGGCCACGCAGCCTGAGGAGGCGGATGCTCAGCCCACATCTGGCCCAGCTGCTCGTGAAGGTCATCAGGGAGCTGTCGCTGCCAGACCTTGCGCCAAAAGGCCACAATTAACTCAAGCGAACCAGGGGTCGAGGAAGACGTAGTAGTCACCCCACGCACTGTGGACTGCAAAGCCGGTGCAAGGAGCCCCGCCTTGTTTCTGAGCCACCGGGTAGCCTCGCGCCGGCCTTGAGCCATCTTGGCCCTCCAGGAAGTGAGGCCGAAATCGCGGCGCTGCTGACGAAGCTTCAGGATGTTGGCCTCGCACTCAAGGATCGCCGCATCGATGTTGCTGGCACTCAAATCCGAAGGCCACGTAGCACGAAGCTTAGCCATGACCTCAGCACCATCAGCAACCGGATGCTGTTGTAGGCGCTTGGCCTCGTGGAGCCTGCCCAAGCAAGTTGAGAGCTTGCGAAGTTGAGCTCCCTCATTCGTGTTGTGGCCTTTGCAAGCGGGATCGCCACTAGCAGCGGCTAACGTTGCAACAGAACCTTTGGGGCGATGCTTTCCACGACTCAAGGGCCGAGCCGAAGTAGTCTCAGCAAACATTTGGCTTGCAGCCTCAAGCGAAAGCTCAAGCTGCGCGGCGAGCTGAGCCCACTGAACGTCAACATCGTCGCCCCACACCACCTCAAGGTCGTGGAAGTAAGCGGCGACGGCCTCCCGCCATGTGGTGAGAGGAACATGTTCGGGACGTGAAAGATCTCTGGTACGACGCAAAGAAAACTGCCCAACACGCTCAAAGCCAAAGCTGCCCTCAATCCACAAGCACTTATGGTCACTGATGCGTGGCTCCAGGAACTCGGCTTTGAAGGTGGCCTGGGGGTCGTTGTTCATGGCCCAATCAATGGCTCGCGGACCTTTCCATCGAGAGGCCAGGTAGCGACCCTGTTCCTTGGGTCCAATGATCATGTATCCAAGCCCCGCTTCCAGTCACCAACAGCGACAAAGGAGTGGCCAGTCGCAACGGCATGGCTGGCCCACAGAGTGACTTCGGCGTCAAAGGCGTCGCGAAGGCCACCAGGTCGTCGCCACGCCGCCACATAGCGAAAGTAACCGAAGTCCAGCTGCAGCAGGTCACCCTCTTCGCAACACCAGGTAGCCATCTGTTTGCAGCAGACACCCTCCTTGACGCCCACGAGGAGACCACCTTTCCAATTGGTGGGGCCCTGTTGACGAGCTCCTTGAGTGGAAGGCACACACCACACTCTGTAGCCCATGCGGTTGGCCCGCTTAGTGAGAGCCGTTTGCTCAGACGGGCTCGCGCGGATCTCGGCCAGGGACCACACCGAGGGTTGAGTCTTGAAGGTCTGGAAGAGCTCAAGGGTCTCGAAAGCGTTGGCGCACCCACCCGTGTTCAAGTGAAAGCAGCTCCACGTAGGACACGAACGGTCCAGGGCTTGGCTCGACGCCCTCCTCTGTAACATCTCGCAGCCACTGTTTCAGAGGGCTCGCCTTGTGATTCTTGGCCTTGGTCAAAAGCACGTTGTGCTCCTTGTCAGAAAGGCTCCAAATGCGTTTGAGCAGTCGACGCCCCTGAGCTCCAATCTTAGCACACAGTCTCTGCTTGCCTGTCGTGCGAAGCACCCTCGCGCGATCGCCTGTTCCCGGGCACTGAGTAGTGAGCTTTGTCAAAGCGGAGCGCGTTTTGGCCACACGCAAACATTTGGTGCAAGTGAAGATGACCTGAGCCCGATCACCCTCACAACGAAGCACTTGTCGACTGCAACGGTCCTGTTTGCGCTTCTGTACCATTAGCTGTCTGGCTTTCTGATGATTCTGCACCTTTCTACACAAAAAATCATACCCCACCGGCGACTCCGAGCACCCCGACTTGAATGGGACTCGTCCAGCTCCCGAGCCCAAGCTCTCAGGTTGGAGCCTGCAGTAGACTCCGGCGGCGCCTTCTTGCACGATCTCTTGTCCATGCGAGGAAGCCCTTGTCGGCACCAGAAGCAAGTCCAAGCCGGCTTGCCCTTGAGCACACGTCGAGGTTTCGTCGCAACACATGTCGCAACCGTGGCCACTTCCCGAATTCGAGGGAAGTCAGAAGTAGGGCGATCAGGATGTCGACGAGCAATATGTGCAGCGCGTGCTTCCGAAAGACCATGCCCGTAATCTTTGCAATGAGCACTAGGCCGCACGTGTTCCTTGCACTCCTCACAGTACCATGCACCCGCCTCGGCAACGGGAGCATCACGAAGTGAACGGCCCTTGGAGTCGGCCGGCAGAACTGTAGTAGCCCTGGCCTCCCGAGTCGACTTGCTGGCCTTGGCGTGTGAGGCGACAGAGCCCGCGCACAACGAGGTAGCTCGAGAAGGCAGCCACTGGCGATCATCTCTGTCTCCCGGAGTCGAAGCAAGAGATGCCACCGCAGCCCTGGGCGCCCGAGTCGACTTGTTAGCCTCGGCCTGGGAAGCGACAGAACGTGCACTCGACGAGGTAGCTCGCGACGGCAACCATTGGCGATCATGCGTTTCTAGCGCAGTCGAAGGCGGGGACGAACACCTGGAGGGCAACCAACCACGCCTCTCGGCAACGTGTGAGCTTGCCCACCAGTCTCCAGCTCGGTCCACTCGGCCGGCAGTGACTTGCCATTCTTTGGGGCGATGAGCTGGCAGTGCTTGTCTTTGTAGAGGAGCGGGATCACCACTTGCTGCCTGCCATCCTTGAACTGGATTGCCTTGCCGTATGCAATGATTTGCGTGGGCTTCTTGACATCGCCCACAACCAGGATTATGCGGCAGTTCAATCTCTTCGTCGCGGCACGAAAAGTCAAGTCGTCAGCCCATCTCGTCGGCCTGTCCAAAGCGTCTAAGTATTCTTCCCATGACTGTGGCGGCGTCCCGCCCTCAATCAGCTCCAGATTTACGCGCTCGGTCTCGTCTGCGGGCGTTGGGGCAGGAAGCCAAAACAACTTGAAGTCTGAAGCCTTGTCACGGACGTAGCTCGCGTTCGCAGCTCTCAACGTTGCTCCTCTCGCCTTGGCCAGTTTTACACGCATCCGGCCATGAGAACCGAACACGATGAACTGCAAAGCACACGCCCACCGAGTTGAAGAAGCACCTCCCTGCCCCCCCACATTCGTAAATGTCGCACCATTCGTCGTCTCGACCAGGGGCGGATCGAGAGCATTCTTGGGCTCAGGCACCAGCACTAACTTGTCGTCCACGTCCATTGTCAGTGTCGGTGCCCTCCGCTTGGCTGCCTTTGGCCGTTGCTTTGCCCTGTCCAGCTGCAGTTGCGCTACCTCCTTGGCCCGGTGACTGGGCCTTGGTCGTCGTAGTGTTCCGCATGCCTGTCTGCTGCGTCGTCCCAGTGTTCTTGCGCTCAGAGACAGGGTTAAGCGGGACCGCCTCCAGGTTCACTAGCTTGCGCTTTGTGATGGCCCGCTCCATGTCGATGGTAACCTTGCCCACCTGAATGGCCAAAGAAGGTTGCCCTCCATCTTGTTTGAAGCGGGCACGCACTAGCCACGGAAGACGCCCCCGACCAGGTGACAGTACTTCAAACTCGGCAAAGCCTACGTCAGCCAAAGCACCCTGCAGGTCCTCAGCCGACCAGTCGTGTGGGACCTGCCTCGCTCTCCAGGCGCACGTGCGATCTCCAGCTGCTTCAGCAGAGACCTTGACTCCCAGCGATGCTCCACCGCCTCTGCGAAAAGCAAGGGAGCTCTTGGTCTCCTGGGCTTTCCGCCTGGCCAGCATCAGGTATGCCGGCCGCTCGGTTTCTCCTGCAGAGAGCCAATCGACGACTGGCTTCTGCGCGTCTTTAGCGAGCTCGGCCGCGAAGACACCCTCAACGCCTGATCTGGACAAAACGGCCGCCTTGTCCACCTCAGCCACTTTAACGTAGCATTCCAGAACCTCCTCACGGCTGTGTTTTTCACCAGCCTGCAATTTCTGCCAAGGCCCGAAACTGTGGATAGGCCCCAAAGCATGACGGGCCCGATCGTTCGGCTGCTTGCAGAATGCTGTCCAAGTGGTGGGCTCTTGGAACACTTTCGGGACTTGGAGGCGAAGTGTCACGAGCTTCCTGTCTGGAGCTTTGAAAGCAGATCGCAGCACAGCTCTATGTTTCATGTCTGGCCCTCCACTGGAACCAAGAGGCATGGCGGGCCATGAGCGGACCTGTCGCTGGCCCTTTGGTCCACTCGATGGGAGCTGCAGTGCTGCCGCTTCCTGTTCCGGGTTGAACCTACAGACTACTGAAATCTTGTCTTGCAGAGCATGAGCGCGAGCCAACGACAGAAGTGCGTCCAGTTCTGACTGTTCACAGGCGACAATGAGATGAGCATTCAGTTTGTCACCATCCGAAAGCCTTTTCTTTGCCATGCCAAAGCCAATGAGACCTCCCACCAAGGGATCAATCGTCCACTTTGCACCGGTGCCGAGTCCTTTTTCCTCTTGGTCTCGGACGCTTGTTGCCCCCGGTGTGGCTGGTCCCCGCTACCACCGCCACTGCTATGCAACTTGGCTCGCTCACGCCTAGCTGCCCGGCCTTGGCCATAGCCTGCCATCGCTCGCTTAATCAAGCCCTGCAAAGCATCTAGCAAAACACCCGGGTCCTTCTTGGCCGCTTTCACGACCCCTTCCAAGGCACCAAGGAGCTCCGCGTCGTTCTTGATGACATTGCCCTGGCCCTTGCCTTTGGCAGCACCGGTGACAGTCGCCGAAGATGCCGAAGACAAAGTAGGTGAAGTAGCAACAAACTTGGCTCCTTTGTCGCCCAGGTCATTCTTTTTCGCCTTCGCCAAGAGCTCCTGCAAACCTGCCAAAAGCTCGCCATTGCCCCCTCCTCCACGACAGAAGTGGCCCCATTGCATCCGTCCAATTGGAGTCTGAATCCAATCCCATGGTTGGATGTCCTCGGTGACCACAACCTTGGTGTCGTCACTCTCGCCTCTCTCGCCGATGCCATGGCTGCCCTCGGTGACTGCAACCTTGGTGTCTCCAATCTCGCCGCTCTCGCCGAGGCCATGGCTGCCGTCGGTGATCGCAACCTTGATGTCGTCACTCTCGCCGCTCTCTCGCTGATGCCATGGCCGCCCTCGGTGACCGCAACCTTGGTGTCTCCAATCTCGCCGTTCTCGCCGATGCCATGGTGGCCCTCGGTGATCGCAACCTTGACGTCGCGACTCTCGCCGATGCCATGGCTAGAGAGCGCGGAGGCATCACAGAACCCTGGGAGCCCGTAGGGGCTAGTGTCCCCACCCCCAATCGGTGGGCTCACGGCCTCTTTGGCTCCATGGCTCTTCGTTGTTTCTTGACTCTCCTTCTTTGCCCTTTGGGTCTTTTTCATTGTTCTGGGTTTTCGGGTCCCGTCCCGCACAGCACAAGTCCTAGCATGATGTTTCAAAGCAGATGCAACCCTCGGCTCCTGCCTCGATCTGCCCACGCCCAGCGCACTCTTCGCCGCTCTCGCCGAGGCCATGGCTGCCGTCGGTGATCGCAACCTTGGTGTCTCCAGTCTCGCCGCTCTCGCCGATGCCATGGTTGCCCTCGGTGGCCGCAACCTTGGTGTCGTCACTCTCGCCGCTCTCGCCGAGGCCATGGCTGCCGTCGGCGATCGCAACCTTGGTGTCTCCAATCTCGCCGCTGTCGCCGATGCCATGGTTGCCCTCGGTGGCCGCAACCTTGGTGACGTTACTCTCGCCGCTTCCGCCGAGGCCATGGCCGCCGTCGGCGATCGCAACCTTGGTGTCTCCAATCTCGCCGCTCTCGCCGATACCATGGTTGCCCTCGTTGGCCGCAACCTTGGTGACGTCACTCTCGCTCCCGCCGAGGCCATGGCTGCCGTCGGCGATCGCAACCTCGGTGTCTCCAATCTCGCCGCTCTCGCCGATGCCATGGCTGCCCTCGGTAACCGCAACCTTGGTGTCTCCAATCTCGCCGTTCTCGCCGATGCCATGGCGGCCCTCGGTGATCGCAACCCTGACGTCGCGACTCTCGCCGATGCCATGGCTAGAGAGCGGGCTAGTGTCCCCACCCCCAATCGGTGGGCTCACGGCCTCTTTGGCTCCATGGCTCTTCATTGTTTCTTGACTCTCCTTCTTTGCCCTTTGGGTCTTTTTCACTGTTCTGGGTTTTCGGGTCCCGTCCCGCACAGCACAAGTCCTAGCATGATGTTTCAAAGCAGATGCAACCCTCGGCTCCTGCCTCGATCTGTCCACGCCCAGCGCATCCTTACGGCCAGGGTCGATCTGTTCCTGCACGGGTATGGCCACGTAGAGACCTCGATGACCCAATCGAGGTCCTCACCAACACCCCATCAAGCTGCGACACTTTCTGCCGCCAAACCGGCGGCCTCCAATCATCAAAGCCGCTATGGCCACCAATCTCCGCCGCCGTTTGGGTTTGGGTTTGGGCGGCTTTCTTCGTCGTCGTCGCCGCTCTTGTTTGGCGGCTGCAATGCGTCGGCGCATCCATGTACGCAGCCTCGGCCGCATGCACCTGCAATTCTTTTTCAATGCACAGCGTCTGAATCTCATGAGGGAGTCGAGCATCAAGAAGGCACCGATGATTCCCATAATCATCCGCCTGGTAGTTGCCCGTTGAATTTGGTCTTGCGCTCGGGCCCATGCGAGCGCATTCCGCTCCCACCGAGGGACGAAGTCCCAGGAGGTATTCACAAGGGAGCGGTAGGTCGCTAGGTAGGTCGGTAGGTAGGTCGGTAGGTAGGTAGGTAGGTAGGTAGGTAGGTAGGTAAAAAGATAGATAGCTACATAGATGGATAGATAGATAGCTAGCTTAGATAGCTAGCTGGCTAGCTAGCTAGCTAGCTAGCGAGCGAGCCAGCCAGCCAGCCAGCGAGCGAGCGAGCGGGCGAGCGAGATAGATAGATAGATAGATAGATAGATAAATAGATAGATAGATAGATAGATAGATAGGTAGATAGATAGATAGATAGATAGATAGACAGAGAGACAGACGACAGAGAGATAGATAGGTAGATAGACAGACAGACAGACAGATAGAATGATAAACAGGTAGATAGATAGATGGATAGAGAAACAGATAGATAGATAGATAGATAAATAGATAGATAGATAGATAGATAGATAGACAGATAAATAGACAGGTAGGTAGGTAGGTCGGCACGTAGGCAGATAGGTAGGCGGATGAATAGACCAATAGATAAAGAGTTTACGAAAACAAGGGACCTTACATCAGCAAACTTTAAACATTAGGATGACCCTTATCATAAGGACCGGTGACATGAAATATCCCCAGGTCTTGGCAACTGCCATAAATGACAGCTCGGGAACTTCCAAGAAGCTACGCAACTCAATAGGGCCCTAAAACTTGTCGGTTTAGGGCTTCAAGATCTTAGGGGTTAGGGTCTAGGGTTTCAAGGGCTTAGGATTTAGCGGCGTTTGGGGTTCACCCTGGACCCTAAGCCCCAAACATGCAAGGCCCGCCTCATCCTTTCGGACCACGCCATGGATTCCAAAGCAGATGAAGGGCCTCAGAGCCGCAGAGCTAGATTTAGGGTGCCGCCGTCAGGGCGCATTCCAAAAAGGAAGCGAAAGGAAGCGAGCCGAGAGGGACTACAAGGAGCTGAAGCTGCAACTACGTTATACTTTTCACGGTTTTTGTTTAAAGCACCCTTTTCCACCTACTGTAGCAGTTAAGGTCGGTAGACTCCACAGGTGTGGAAGGCAAACTTGCTCAAGACAACTGGACATGGCAAGCCTGACAGCACAAAGACGGGCTACCCTGCAGCACTCACTCCAGGCAACGACCATTGAGGCCGCCGAACTCCTCTTCATCCCGTCGCAAGGCTTCATCATCTCCATTCAAGTGTGGGTTTAGGGTTTAGGTTTTTTTTTTGGGGGGGGTTTAGGGTTTAGGGTTTAGGTCCTGGGGCTTAGCCCTCTGAGTCGGCAGCAGGCTAGCAAGCGCAAAGGCCGTGAAGAAGATCTGTCAGCCAGCTCATGGGTCACTCGGTTCCAAGTGCAAAGCTTCGATTCAAGATCACACATCCTGCGGCCCTTCTCATATTCTCATTTTCCGTTCAATGGTGCAAAACTTCATAGGGGCTCTTGCCGGATTATAGGGTTCTTCAATAAGGCTTATCAAGGCTTATGCAGGTTTTGACAGGCTTCGTTTAAAAGGCTTTCGCAGGATTACGCTTTTGTTTAAGGCTTCGGGAGGATGTCTCTAATCCACTTTCCCGAGGCTCCAAACCCAACTGGCCTGCATCGGCAAGCTTGCTACAGCCGCCGCCTCCTCAGGGTAGAACAGAGCGCCAACCTTGGTTGAGGGTTTAGGGTTTAGGGTTACAGAAAGAACCAGAACATCTAGAATCTAGACTCCATGCACGCATGTACACGGCAAGTCAAGACACGACACGCACACGCAAACACACACGGACGCACACGCACACACAGATCTCACACACGCACACACGCACACGTGCGCACGGATTTGCACTCGAGTCACGTAAACATCTTGATGGACAGCTCGCAGATAGCCAAGGTTTACATAGATTGTGAACCCGCACGTTCTAGCATCGCGAAACACAGCTCGTAGATAGCCATAGCCAATGTTTACACAGAACACGGTGTGGCCAGGGTCCCAGAAGAAACCGAATTGGAGGCTGAAGTTGCATGCATTGTTTGCTTATGGCATTCACTGTGCTCAAGGATTCACTTTCCTCGTACAAAAAGATAGTAGACTTACATTGCACACAGAAATATGCCTAAGCAATTGAACTGCTGCGATTTCCCAGCCTCGTCGGATTCACTGTTTCCGCTTCTGACTTGCGGACTTCATAAGCCCCAAAGGGGATACACTTTCAGTGCTGTCAGGGATAAGATTATCCCGAAAAGTGTAGAGTGTAACCATTCAGCTAGTAAGGCTTCGAGCATTCATGCGCTGAGCACGTATCCAAGCTGCTTGATGCATCAGATCCCTTTAGGACTCTGACCGCTCGCACTGCGGTGAGTGCAACCAAGACGACATTGGCCTTGGGACTCGGTCAGGGAGTTGTCGAGACCAAGAACACGTGCTCGCTGCCCACATCGTTGCATGATTGCAGGAATCCCCCTTGAGCATGAGAGCTGCTTCAACCATAAGGCAAATGCAAACGCCACAGAACAAGACAATTGATACCTTTGATCTTGACCCAACCGTGATAACTGCGAAGATGACCAAGCTGATGCTGATGCGACAAATGAAACACCTTCTGCAGTCGAAGATGGATGCAAGATGACAAGCTGTTGGTGGTCTTGGTGATGGCAGTGATGACGATGATGATGAGGCTGACAATGGTGAGGATCACAACGACAATGAGGACGATGAGGAAGATCGGCGATCAGCAAGACGCGGAAGGTGAGGAGGCGAAGGACGGATGAGACGAGCATCAGCATCTTCACCACCGATACCACCACCATCATCGTCATGACTATGAACAAGATCATCGCCGTTTTTCTGTTATGACGATAGAAGACGACGGCATGACGACACCAATAATGGTTGTATTGAAGACGCTGTTAGTGAGGACTGTGACGATGTGAGGACGATAAAGACGAGGATAGCAGGTGACAAGTGCTGGTGGCCATCGTGCTGGTGACGGTCGAGAATAAACGAGAAAACACCGTGCAGATGCGGTCTTACCAGTCCTTTCATCAAACTTGTGTCAGTGCTACTGTCTCAGTCTTAGCTCTACATCGATAGATGCGCTCAATAAGAAGTGCAAGGTGCTCAGCTGGGGCATGCACGAGAATCACCAGACTCGTTCCGAGCCGCAGCGAGCAGCCACAGCAGAACCTAATTATCGAATGATGGTGCGTCTACAGCCGTGTGTTTGGGGTGTCCGTTGTCACAGACAGGCGGACGGGCTCGTCATACCACGACCGTATTTTAAGCTTCCGCCGCCGATCTCTCGAGTGTTTGTATGGCCGGCTTCATTATTCTGCTCGGGCCATACCCCTCGTCTTGCTTGTACTCTGACGTTCTGAGCCTCTCGCTGATTTGCTGGCAGACAGCAGAACATGACAGGCACGAGAACGGCGTCGAAGATACCTCACACAAGTAGAGACGCTCGGCAGCCGCGGAAATCCATGATTCCATCTCTGCAAGCACCTTGCGAACGTACGATGCACGCACCCGCTCTCTGCTGCTTCGACAGGGCAGCTGTCTCTGGCTGGTGCGGTACATTGACACAACGTTTGTTGATTGAGCTTACAAGAGTTGAACTGGGGGTCGGCGATTGCTCCGCCTTGCCTGCGCTTGGTTTCATCAGGGTCGCCCTCTGCAGCTCTTCCGAAACCCCGCTTGGGATGAGAGCTTTCTCTGTTTGAACGCGGTGTGGCCCAGGCTGCACGGCTTCGGGCTCCGTGGGCTCGCATGATCGAAGCCTCTTCCCTTCCTTGCTTCCTTCCTGCACTCCGACTCCTTTGTGGCAGCATTTAGGGTTTAGGGTTTAGGGTTTAGGGTTTAGGGTTTAGGGTTAGTATGCTATGATGAAAAAAGAGACCCTCAAAGGACTGGTCTTGCAAATTGTGTTCGGGCTGCTGTGCGGTCCATGCAGCCCAAGGAGCAACTTCACGCCAGGGCCACGCAGAGGCCCCTCAAAGGGGGCCTGTATGTTTCAGTCTCAAATAGTTCCGAAGACTCGTAAAGCTGCGGCGCAGTCAAGGCACACACGTAAGAACTGACAATCATCTATCAAAGGTTGCACATATGAGAGTTTCAGAACACGGGACCATGATATAGACCCTGAATGATGCGATGCTTACGACAAGGAGCCCTAAATTCTCTATTCGGGATACCTAATTTCCGAAACCCCGATATCTAGAATCCAAGCCCCAACGTGATCGCTACTCAAGAGCACCTGAACATCAACCCTAGAGTGGGAACCTGACTAGAACCTTCCGCTTCCATAACCACATACACGAGGAACCTTGTGAAAAACCTGATAAGAAGCAGGCTTTCTAAACAAGGTTCCTACACTGATGCAGAGGCAACGACAGAAATGTTCGTTTGCACGAGGTGCTATGCCTTACAGCTCGCGAAGCTAGCAAGAGAGTCCTCTGCAAGCACCGTATGCATCCAAACCCCCAGGATCCACTTTTGTCAGCTCGCCGCTGACTTCCTGTTGTCAGCCGTTGCGGTTGGCGTTGTTCGCCGGTGGCCTGGGGTACACAGGCTCTTTTTCGCGCCCACCAATGCCTCTACGGCCGTGTTAGACAATCAGGGACCCTCACATCAACCCTAAATAGCGAGATCCTGCTTTTGGGGCGAGCCTTGAAGCATGCACGCGGAAAATCCACTTCTGCATGGTACATACTTGCCTCTACCACTCCCCTGGGCCTGAGGCAGACAGACAGGAACAGGCAGTCCCTAAACACCCGTCAGTTCCGGAGGCACACACTCACGGGCGCCCGGCAGCAGGAGGATGCTGGCAGTAAGTCCCTGGAGAAACCTGCGAGAAACAATTAACAGCGACACAGTTTAGTTCAGGCTTCGGGATTCTTCCGACCTTATTCTTTCGACAGTTCAGGAAGTGAGACTTTGGGTTTTGAGATTAGTAACTTTGGTCTTGAGAAATCTCGCTTTCTCCGATATTTCGATCAGGAGGCGAAGGGAATGAATGTCTGGATAGTATTCTCTGGTCCAGGTGGGTTCGAGACAGAGATCACGGAGCAAGCTTGAACTCATAATGAATGCTGGGCTGTTTCCACCAACCAGAGACTCGGCCGGCCCTGACCCTCACCTCCCTCCCTGGCCTTGCGTAGATGTATGCAAGTAGTCGGAGGAAGAATATGGGAAGGTTGAACTTGTCCGCGTATGCGAGAAGAACCAAGCCAACCACCTGCAGCAACCACAGGCAAGCCCAAGCTGCATGACTGATCATTCCTTCACACTGATCATTGCATCGCGGCCGATGCCAGGCCATCACAGCATAGAACTGAGCCTCCAAACACGAACCACCGAGGCCGCGACCCCACAGAGGCACGTCTTGGCGAACATCTGGAAGTGTTTCGGCCTGTGGCAAGGCTGACAAGACTTCTGCGTTCGAATCGCGAAGTGCCAAACGAGGGCCAATTAAAGCGTCGGCTCCGGTCTCATGCAGCCGTGCTCACAGCGACGGACCCCCGGCCTCTTCGTCCAAATGGATAAAACTGCCATGAAGTAGTAAACAATGCCAAAGAGGACCTGCTGCCGCTCAAACTCTAACTATAGCAACAACACTGCAGCCGACGCTGCTGCTACTACGACGACGACTTCGACTACGACAACGACTACGACCACGACTACAACTGCAGCTGCTGCTGCTGCTGCTGCTGCTGCTACGACGACGACTACTACTACGACTACTACAACCAGTACTCCTATTCCTCCTGCGACTACTACTACTACTACCACCACCACCACCACCGCGACTTTCTCCTTCTGCTACTACTACTACTCCTACTACTAGTGCTAGTACTACTACTACTACTACTACTACTACTACTACTACTACGACTACTACTAGTACTAGTACGAGTACTAGTACTAGTACGAGTACTAGTACTAGTACTAGTACTAGTACTAGTACTAGTACTAGTACTAGTACTAGTACTATTATTATTATTACTACTACTACTACTACTACTACTACTCGTAGTACTACTACTACTGCTACCACTGCGACTACTACTACTACTACTACTACTCCTCCTCCTGCTGCTGCTGCTGCTGCTGCTGCGACTACTCCTGTTGCTGTTACTACTGCGGTTGCTATTGCTACAGATGCTGCTACTTTTACAGTTACTGCCACTGTGACTGCTACTGCTACTTCTGCGGCTACCGCCACCGCCAGTGCTACTGCTACCGTTACTGCTACTGCCACAACTACTTCTACTGCTGCTGCTGCTGCTGGTACTGCTGCACTGCTGCTTCTGCTGCTACTACCGCATCTACTTCAACATCTCCTACCGCAACTCCTGTTTGGGCTTCTGCACCAAGTAGTTATAACGTCACAGGTCAATCCTTGGCGGAGAAGATGAACTCGACTGCCACCGTCGAACACCACTAATAAAGGGGCCATATTCATTCTAAAAGGCTTCTGGTGTGCATTCTACTGTAATTCGGACAACGAAGCCTAGGGAATCGTGGCACAGCACTTGGCCAAAGCATGTCCAGCGACATAGAATTCAAAATCATCAGCTGATCCCATGGCACACTTTCGCGAGCTCCTGTGCATGCGAGCACTGATGCAGAACTGGTTTAGGGTTTAGGGTTTAGGGTTTAGGGTTTAGGGTTTAGAACTGGCCTGGATCACCAAGGTCGTCCAAAGAATGGCCTGCAGTCCCGGGGCTACAACGGCTACGAAGTTCCGAACTCAGAGGAAGGATGCCTGAGGAACCAACCTCTGCTGTTTTGGGGGAGATCTCCCAGTTGTACATGGCCTCCAACTCAAACATAGACCTGAGAAGGCATGACGCCGTTTGTCGAAGGAAGGCGCAGGCAAGCCGTAGCACTACTTCTCGTACAGTAAGTAGAGTTTGGCATTCCAGTTTTCGGATCTTCGGGTTGCGGCTTTTGGCTCAGGGCGTATCTTCCGTAAGGCCCAGACGGCCGCATCCGCACGACGAAGACCGCTGCGTAAAGCGACTGGCGCGATTAAAATACAACGATACATAATACGAGTTCATTGCTGTGCACATCCTGGCACATGCGTATGATACAGAGATGTATGCATGTTCTGCAGGTCATGCAGCTGTGTCGACACATGTACAGATATCTAGAGGATTTGAGGTTCTACCTAAGGTCCCTATGTCATATCACAAAACACAAGGTGGCGGACTTGTTCAACAATGTAGCACAGGATGTTGCTAAAACTTGTCGCATGCATCGCAAACTGTAAGACTGCCTGTATACGAGATACTACACCGGACATGAAATAGCGAAAACACCGTAATGGAGGCATTGGGCTACACAGCGTAGATCATGTCTCGGCATCACCTACTGTGGTTTCCTGTAGCGAAGCGTGACATAAAATAACAGAAAGGTAGGGGGTTCCACCCTCAAAGATAACAACCTGAAGCATGGCACCATGTGGGAGATGTAGGATTGTGAAGTAAAGGGTTTAGGGTTTAGGGTTTAGGGGAATGCAGTATCAACTGGTAAACTGCCATGCGACTGAACAGAGCAAGTCGGACATTGTGACAAAGACTTGATTTAGGTCTTCACGCTCCCAATCCTCAGAGATTGCGTAACTTTGGCAGACCAACCAAATGCAGAACGAATCTTTAACGAAACATGATACAGCAACGCAAAAGATGTAGCCTGGGCTATCAATAGAACAAGGCTGCTCAGCAGCGGAATACAGGCCGTGGAAATACACATATCATATCACTATGCCCAGCTTACACGGCATAGTGACACTCAGCAAATGAAGCATTGCACAACGAAAACAAAGCTGTGAATTAATTAAGATGGTCTGCACCAGAAGGTGTTAATGGCGCTGAACGCTGGAAGGACATCCAAAGTCGACAAAGTGTCTGCATATGTCTACACAAAACTCCACTGATGCATCATGAATCCATCCTTAAACACATTAGGACACTAGGTTTCTGATCCGGTGCCTCCAGAACAAATTGTATGAACAGGAGCAGCATGAACACGCGCTCATGTCGCGAGTACAGGAACTCCACCTGCCGGCAAAGCAAAAACTGCAGAGGAGCCGAGGTCGCTAACGACAGTCCGCCTGTTGACTCCGGCTTAAGAAGCAATGGGTAGTTCTCTAAATTAGGGTCCCTTTTTGGGGTCCCAAACATAGTACGGCACCCTTGTAAAAAGGACCCTAAAAAGAGACCCTAATTTAGAGAACACACAAATTGAGTCAAGCACGGCGGAGATCAATGCCAGGAGCCCCGTATAAAACCCTATGGAAAAAGTTCTACAAAGCCGCAAAGCCCGATTTAGCAGCAAGTACATGACCCTGCACAACCCATAAGACAAAACCTGAAAGCTCGTAGGAAATCTGTATAGTACTATGTTGGCAGTCTTGGCCTCTTGAGACATGCTGATGCCATTGGCATTAGAGCCGCTTCCACTGCTATCGCCTTTGTGCTCTCGTGGCCAGAAGATGGGTGTAGGGGTTTAGGGTTTAGGGTTTAGGGTTTAGGGTTTAAGGTTTAGGGTTTAGGGTTTAGGGTTCAGGGCAGCGATGGTATGAACAATCATCATAGTAGCAAGAGGGAAGACGGTACTTGCGAGAGTGGTAAGAAAAATCGACAACAAAAGAATAAAATCAGTTATTATAGAACAGAACCTACTTCAAGGTGCAAAGGGGCTACCATGGACACTACAAAAGCTGCACTACATCCGATCTGTTGATCGCTTTGGGGGTCTGGGTAGCTTCATTGCACATTTGCAGGCTTCTCGGCTATAATCTGTAACATTTCTGTGTTGCGGGCTCGGTTCGGACCGCGCTGAGTGGACGGACTCTCTAAAGCAATCACCGACGCAATTGGATGAGGCAGAAAATGGTCTCGGGCATGGATATGGGTGCTCAAAACGGTTCAGGGCTTTAGGGATTACTGGTCGAAATTGAGGTTTTGTGGTTGGTCGCACATTTACCTTTATCAGACCTTTGCAAAACAGAAGTGCGCTAAGGCTGTCGCTGTCCCCGTCATTGGACCTGGCTGCCAAGCACAGGTAGAGTTCAATGCTTTAGACATGGCGCGAGCAGCTGCAGGCAGATTCTGAGAACTTCTCGGAGTGCTGAAAGCTCAACCAGCACTCTAGGAGCAATGCTCACGTCGTCCTCGATCGCCCCGATCTCCTTTCGGCCTGAAACAATCCAAAGTGACTGCAACGTGTCACGGCAAGGTCTGCGATTCAGACAGATTCACCGACGACTGCCTGGCTTGCTTGGCATCGGAAGGAACAGCCTGCCGGCTGGCAGCGCTCGCCCAAGTGATTGTTTTCATCACACAGTTGCACAACGTTGCCGTGTTCCAATACAATCAAACACTGCTGGCCTCTGTGATGGAACCATCCGGGTTTTCCACGAAGATGGGTCCATGGACCATCCTCAACCCAAGCGTCAACACCCGCCGGACTCTTTCGCTTTCGGTTCGATTCCCTTAACCCGAAACTCGAAATTCTAAACCCTAAACCCCAAACCCTAAACCCTGAACCCTAAAGCCTACAACAAGAAATCCCCTCCGCGACTCTACTCTGTGGCTCCCACAGCCTTCCTTGACCAGGAGGAGCCGCATCCTGTGGATGCCGGGCTTGTTTGCCAAGAAAGCCCTTAGAGGAAACCTTACAGTAGCAGCAACCCTGGTACAAAAAATCTCAAAGAAGCCCTTACGAGCAGTTTTTGTAGACACCATTAAAGAAGCCCTGACGAGTAGTTTTTGTAGACACCATTAGACACCCCTAGAGTTTCCCCAGTGGATTGCCTGCCTTATCCTTCGCATTGGGCTTGGAGCATGCGCCATACTCCGGCGTCGGCCCATTCATGGAGGGGAGGGTCACCTGATTTCCGCCAGGGATTAGGGAAGAGTTGAGGGTTGAGGGTTTAGGGTTTTGGGAGCAGAGAGAAAATAGCTGTCCCGCCTGGCCGGCTGACAGACTCGTCACCGATCCAGGTGCTTTCCTTGTCATGGCGGAAGCAGAAATACGCAAAGAAGCCACAGCCCTTTGGGCCTTTGGCCACTTACGATCCATCTTTGGTGCACGTGCTTGCCCACACCTCTGCAGCCAGGCTTCTTGCAAGCGGCGCGTGCGTGAGGAGCTGTGAGGTGTCAAGCTCCATGGACCATTTGGCCCCCACGCACAGCGCAGTCTTTAAGCCAAGTTCGTGAAGAGCACTTACACGCACCACAGTGTTGACCACGCAAGGACACTCATGGGGTCATGTACGAGTACGCCACTTAGTGGTGTTCCGAGCCGCAGCCACTACCATGTCGAAGAAGCCTTGTTATGACACTTGTCGTAATGTCGTCCTGCTGTTCTTTTCCTTCCACAGACTCGGCAAGCTGGTTCTGAGTGGTTCTGAGAGCTACCAAGCGCTTAGGGTTTGCATTCCCTGCTTGTGCAGGGAGTGCAGCAGGAATCAACATGCAGGCTCGCCACTCTGACATGAGAGCAGCATGCCCGCCGATGCATCGCATCAGAGCTCACTTGGCCGATTGACCAGTCCCTACACGTCACGCTGATCAAGTCGCGATTGCGGTCCGTGCAAGTGCGGGTGCTCCGGCCGCAAGAGCACATCCCAGAGACTCCAATATCCCTTAATTAAGGAATATACCTTAAAATCTTATTGGGGTTCCTACTATGATTTAAGGTATATTCCTTAATTAAGGGATATTGGAGGCTCTGGGATCCCCTTTACATCTCACAGCACTTGCCCACTTCTTTCTCACCAGGGCGACTGGAGTCTCCGTGTAAAGGTTCCTTGGATGACCGCAACGTACTTGGAGGTTCATGGGTAGTTATAATTGGGGTTCTAAGTCCCCTAATAGGGGTTATAATGATAGTTACCCTACTTATAACCCTACTTATAACTAGCCATGAACCTCCAAGTATGTTTGAGCTTGCCAAACGCACAGCCCCGTTCCCCTCATTCCCACCTCCTACGTGCTCGCTTGGAACCCGGCATCTTCAACTTTGGTTGCTCTCGCGGAAGCTGGACAGCAGGCTGATCTGAGCGACCTGAGCGAGACTTGGGCGAGCTGGCAGCTTTCACCACCACCACCACCACCACCACCACCGGGTAGGGCGGGGAAAGAAAGGCTGTTGCTTCTCATGTGTTGCAGTGGGCTCCGGATCCTGCTGCGTCCGGATCCTGCTGCTGTCAAGACCCTGGGATTCCTTGCTGTAGCCCACGAGGCACCAAGTACTCTTCTTCAACTCTGCTTCCTTGTGCAAGGCACATCTGTTGAACCTTTTCAGGGCTCGGACCCATTTTGCTTGTAACTTGTAGGTCTCTCTGTCCAGCCAGGAAATTCTAGGCGAATGCCCAGCGTCCCGAAGTTGGTCTCGTGAGCAGGGATGATGCAGTCGAGGGTCGGGGCTCCGAGGTTGGCTAATAAAGGGGCCTTAATAATTAAGATAGGGTTTTGGGGCCCATTTTACTATAACTATAATAAGGCACCCCCCGACACAGCATAGGGGATTATTCAGGCCACTACATTAATTATGGGGTTTGGGAGTTTAGGGTGCTAATGTACAGGAACCTGATGAAGAACCCCCTGGTCCCACAACCCCAGAATACGAGGATCCTTAAACGTAGGCGCGGAAGGCACCTACAGACACCAAAGCATGCCCTCGCAAGCTAGGGCATTTTCCGACG